ATGCATGTCATACGTTCGAATAACTAATAAAAAATAATAAAAAATAAAATATACATTGAATCATTTCATGACTTCCGTATGTGAAAATAGAAAGATTTGATACTGGAAAGGCATACGAATGAAATTGTTTGACAACTAAATAATTAATGCAACGTGTTGGTTAGGAGTTTGTGTATTGGGGAAGGGGGTTGCAATACTGTAATGAGATAATTTTGGGAGGGAAAATTTGATAGGTACAAGTCTATTATGCATATTTGCAAAACAATAGAAATTTCACCTGTTAACGTTAACACAGAGTGTCTAACATTCTTTTTCACATCAGTAAAATTACTTTATGCAAAGATTTTTATTTTATTCTCTGATACATTAACGTCGTAAGCTATTAGGAAAACTTTTACCCTAGTACCTTAAAGCTGGAGTAACGCTTTTATTGTTTTTCAAATATGTGTTACATACATAAATGTATCAAATTCTTCTTCCAAGGAATATCTCCCTTCAGTGTTACAAATCCCAACAAAAACCATACGTATTACAATTATACATTTTTGAAATTTGACAAAGGAGGGATTTTCAAATATTTGAATATACACATAATATTTCGTATAAAAAAAATATATATTTCTATTCTAGTAACACATTTGGGATCACCATAAATAACTCCATAAACCGTTACTATGAATTTTCAAAGTATCACCTCATATGAAGATAACAGCGAGATATCAAATTAGAACATTCAACTTATATATCTACTTCACAAGTTCATTTGAACAACATTAGGCACTGGTAGAATGACTTCGAAAAAGGTATAAAAAGAGTATTAATTAATTAAAACATGTTTGTAGGAAAATGTTGGTATTGTCCATGTCTTGCTGGCAATAGGGGGATATGAGATTTCAAAAAATCTAATGCAGATTTTTCACGAAAAAAAATCATCAAACCAAAATCAATTTTTAAATTCATTAATACATAATCTTGACATACAAATACATGCATTATTATTTTATTATAACCATCTATGAAAATCATTTGCTGAATAACAATAATAACCATAAAATTGTTCTTCAAGTATTGAGAAAGAGAACGATGTAGAATTTCTCACTTTGTCTCTATGAAAAGAAACAGGTGTATAAAATTGAAAATTTGTTTAAAGTACATTTTTAGTGTAGGTATCGCAATTTTTTATCTTTTATGCTTCAATAGGTACATCAATTCAGCAAAACGCCAAGGAACAATTCCTTACTGATGGTTTATCCTAATTTTTAAATGCATTTTCAAAATTTGCTTGAAAACATTACTTTGGTAGGTCTATAGTCCATAAACGAAATCAAATCACACATAACACTACATTAAAATTTAATCTGATTATTAAAGATGACCTTACATCATTTTTTAACTCCTTTATATTTTGCAAAGAAGAGGGCCACTATTAGCTATTGAAAATTCGCTTTTTCTATGTTTAAAATCAAAAATGCCCTTATCTGAAGATTAGCTTCCCAATACGGAATTTAGGGGGACTTCATGAGTTTTAACTCCCTTAATGGAGGCTGTCTTCGTTTGCATAAGACTAAATTTTTTAATAAAAAAATTAAGTAGTACTAAAAATTAAAAATTTAAAACTCGCCACTGGTAGTTTGAGAAAATATAATTTTACACATGACGATGAGGATGTTTTGCATTAACTTAAGCAATCGTAATAGCGTGCTATTAGTGTGATGTATATAAAAATTGATATTTCTACCTAGGAAATATTTCTATTAAAAATGCATTTTCTTTCTATTAAACCATTTTCGATAGAAAAACAATAGCTTTAAGGGGTCTTTCTTCACTTACTGCCCTGACTGACTGCTAATAATCTAATTATGTTTTTAATTTTTTCAATATTTTATGTGGAGGTCATAGGCTCCAATCGTTTATGTTGTCAGGGGCCGAATACAGGAATTCGTAGTGCTACAAAGTTGCATTCATACATGCATATAATCGTATTAGTTTATTTTTTTTAAATTTTATTTACCATGAATTTCCATTGTGTAATTTTTTGTAAATTATTAAGTACGAGGAGGCGGATTTCAAATAGCTAATAGTAAGACCACTCCTCTTGTAAATAAATCTATAATTGTGTAGCAAGTAAAATAAATGAAGAAACATGATTGTAAAATCGACGCATTTTTCACTCGGCTATTTTATCACTACAATTGCTAATTTTTCTTTAAAAGTATCTTTTTGTTGAAAAAGAGATTTCTAGATTGGTTTAAATTTACAACAAATGAATGTTGAAAACAATAGAGCATTCATCGATAAATTTTTACATCTGTCATAAAATCAATTTCATGCATCCACACCTACAAAGTAGTAACGTAAGACCGATAGCGCTATAAATTATAAGCTGTAACGACTTTTAATCAGTCAATGTATATACGAATCTTAGGCAAGCAGAAAAACAATAATAAGTTTTCGTCGAGAAAATTAAATGCTTTTGCTTCTGAACTGTTACGGTTATCATACTTTTTTGATAACAGTCAATTTTCTTAAGAACAATATTTATGTGAAAATTAAAAATAAATAATCTGAGATGAATATAACGATATAATAAACATATTGAAAAAATGGCAACTTTGAAGCAGTCTATCTACAACTTACGAAACAACTGAATAGTTTTCCTTTGTGCTTATACGTAGATAATTTACAAAATCTGTTCTTTTAACCTGAGTAATAACCCTACAAGGGCCCCATAGCTATCGAATTCTTAGCCTTTTGCTCGCAAATTATCTCGAGAAGACGTCAAGGAAATCATAACCTTCAGATAATATCATTCAAAAAAACGTTTTGTTCTGATATTGAAATTAAATACAATAGAGTTGTTAATAATATAATTTACAACTTCAAATAAATAATAATCCAAATATTATCAAAAGGTGATATTATTACTTAGGATTTTGATGAAATTTAAAAAACAAATTGTTAGTTCAATATTTGAATAAGTAATAAATTTGTTAGCTTTAAAGTGAAAATTTTGCTATATCGATCAAAAAATCCTAAATTATTTAAATTAGAGACAGTGGTGAGCAAAATTGGTCTTGGTGGTCTTGCAGTCTTTACAACTAGCAAGACCAACATCAAGACCGAATAAACAAGACTAAGACTAAAATCAAGACCAAATATGTGACACTAAAGGAAAAATTATTCCTTCCTATAGATTTATGAACTAAACTATATGAAGCAACTTCAATATATTCTTTTCTTGAAACAAAGCATTTTTAATATTTGAAATTTTTATAGGGTTGTTCGGAAAGTCATTTCGTTTTTTTTGTGGAAATGAAAGACAGTTTTCGTATAATAAACAAATACTTTATTAAATTATATATTGACCGTTCTGGTCCAACACCTTTTGCCATCTTTCTGGTAGTAGCATAATTCCACGCTCATAAAATGTTTGGTCTTTGCTGGCAAAAAACTGATCGAGGAGGTTTTTTACCTCCTCATTTGAGGTGAAGGTTTTACCGTCTAAAAAATTTTGGAGTGACCGGAACAAATAATAATCCGATGGTGCCAAGTCTGGAGAATATGGTGGGTGTAGCATTGTATCCCATTCAAGCTGTAAAAGCTTTTGGCGAGTGACCAAACTTGTGTGAGGTCTCGCGTTGTCTTGGTGAAACACTACACCTTTCCTGTTGATTAGTTCTGACCTTTTCTGTTGAAGTGCATCATTCAGTTTGTCCAGCTGATGACAGTAGACTTCCGAATTAATTGTTGTGTTATCCGGTAAAAGCTTAAAAAAAACGATTCCTTTAAAAAACGGACGTGACGTTTGAGAAGCGATTCGCAGACGTCAATGCGGAGGATAATCCCAGCCCTTTCAAGTGGTCATAAACTGTTGAATTTGATAAATTTAACCTCAATCCGATCTCACGTGTTGTTATTCGCCGGTTCACATCAACTAATGCCTTTATCGCGTCTTTATCAGCTTCAACCGGCCTTCCCGAACGTGATGCATCTTCGACATCAAAATTGCCGGATCGAAATTTAGCGAACCAGTTCTGGCACTGGCGTACTGTTGTCAATACTCCTTCTCCATACATCAGTCAATTTTTCTTTCTGGCTTGAACAGCATTTTTACCCTTTCTGTAGTAAAACAGTAAGATATGTCGAAAATGCTGCTTATCGCTCTCCATATTTAAAAGGGCACCAACCAAAAACTACTGCGTAGAATTAATTGGAATTTTTCACACACAAACCTTGCTATATGGCTCTCAAAGCGTATAAAAATTATACGGCTTAAATGTGAACTTGGGTGCAAAAGAATACAATTAAATCCTCTGTCGGGAAAAAACGAAATGATTTTCCGAACAATCCTATGGTTTGTTTTACTAGATTTTAACAGTAAATATCGATTTCAGGTACTATTTTTTCGCGAAAAGGTCAATTTATGCGTTGGAGGAAGGGTAAGTTCAAGTGGTGTTCATAGCTCTCGCAACTATCGGCACTATTGTTTCTCATGTATAAAAGAAAATTTCAGTATTTAAGGCAATTATTGTGTCTGCTTCAGAGTAGTGTAACTTTCGCGCGTCAGTGTCTGTGTGTCTTTATTATCTGAATACTTACTGTCTTTGACAATGGTAAATTAAACTTTTTTGATCTTGTACCATAAGGAGTGTGTGTGTGTCTGCTCCTCCATTTTGTAATATGTTGGATCTAATTTCGGAAAATAACAATTCCAACAAAAGCCCTGAAAGCGCTTTCATGGCTATTGAGCTATACGACCACCGAGGTGATTGTGGCCTACTTTAAAATTTTTTTCTTATTCCCAATCAGTAATTAAAACATTGTCTTGAATATTAATGCATTTTTATCAGTCAACCCTTTTTCATTTTGTAGTACAATGAGAATGTGTTAATTTATGTATTTAATAGTACGTAGGGGCTGATTTCGGTAACTAACGAATCAAAGTAGAAAGCATGTTCATTTTTTCTAAGCTGTTCGGTTATAGGGGTGGTTGTGGTTTAATTTGAATATTTTTTAAATGAAAAAAGGCTCGTTTTGTCGTTAGGATTAGTCCACCGTGTTTCGAGCGTTATTGTTTATCTCTCATTGTCCGAATACTTGCTCTCTTTAACAATGGCATACATGAACGGTCGAACGCGAGAAGCAGATATTTTGCTAGTTTCAATCAGGGATGTAACGGAGGTAGTTTTATCGGAACCGAAGGCGGAGTCGGAGTTTTTAAATTTGCTTTATCGGAGTCGGAATCGGAGTCGGAATCAGAGTCGGAGGCAGTCAGAAGTGGTGGCATGAGAGAGAATTTTTATTTGAGGACAAATAAAACATTATTTAGTCAAATTTTTTTCATTTCAATTTTCATTTATAAAATAAAACACAAACAATGAAAAAATAATTGACGATAGAGTGCTCAGTGCACGTAGTGGAAGTCGGGGGGATTCCCCGCGCGACATGTATGAAGTTCATACTATGAACCTGTTCATAACAGTCGACACAGGCCGCCGCGCCGCCTCTATGTTATGTTTCGACCTCCGATTAAAACCTTCGATTTAAAAGTGTCGGAACTGAAG